AATGTCTCGACTAAAACTAATAAGAGAAAAGAGTCTTCGATGAATCAAGCATATCAAAAAAATTCTCCCGGGTGGGAACTAAATTCTCTTGGGTGAGAGCTTCATTTTCCCGGTTGGGAGTCGAATTCCGGCGAAGATTGTATCTATTTTCGTTGTTTCTCTTTCTTTTTTTCTAGATATTTCGTTTTTTGGGTGCGTGGGGCAGTTTTCTGGGGGAGATTTGCGCAGGGATCGTGGTCGGTGAGAGCGTTCTAGGGTTTTATTTCTTTGATTTGGGGTTTTATCTTGGATGGAAGAATCCTCAGCAGGTATGGATAAGGCGAGAGAGGGGGATGATGGGGTTCTCCAAAAACTGTTCAAAATGTCTTTATCGGCAAAAGAAGCAGGAGAGGCTGAAATTACTGGGGACGATATCAAAGCAAGCGATGAGGAGTGCAATAGAAGTTTGTTTGGTAAGGTTGTGGGTGATAGGCATGCTGGTCTCCTGGGAATTAAGAGAACGATGGGCGCCATCTGGAGAATGCAACATTCCATGGAGGTGAAAGAGATTAGCGAAAATTTTTTCCAATTTATATTTCTTTCTCAAGAGGACAAAAAGAAGGTGTCTGCAGGCCATAATTGGATGTACGGAAACCAATACTTAATCCTAAAAGAATGGTTCCATGGGTTACATAGCAATCACAGTTGCTTTGATGAGATCACTCTTTGGGTTCAGGTTTTAAATGTTCCTTTGAATTGGATGAGCACTGAGGTTGGCTAGAAAGTTGGAAGAATCTTCAATAAAGTTAAAAACGTGATTGTCTGTAAGGTTGGAGGGGATGTAGGGAGTTTTCTGAAGCTGCTGGTGGCAATCGACCTGAAAGAACCAATTCCCAGGTGCACATCCATTAAACTTGGGGATCAAAAGGTGATGGTGGCATTTAGGTACGAGAAACTTGTCAACTTATGCTACTACTGTGGTATGATAGGGCATCTGGACAGGAGCTGCAGCAAAAGATTGAGAGATTTTGAGAATAACTGTGTGGCTGATGGTCAGTTTGGGGAATGGCTAAAAACCTCTGAGACATATGCGGGGGGAAGGAGTATGCAGTCTGACAGTTCCGGTGAGAAAGTTGACCACCCGAAAACCAACCCAGTCCAAGATTCCTTTGCCTCTGATAATATTATTTCTAATGTGGGTCAAAGAGAGATAATCAGAAGCACTGAAAGTGGGGATCAATCACCCCTTGTTTTGGGGGAAGTAGGAGGCCCGGGTGACAAATATGGAGAGATACAAGAATTTGTGGGGATGGCTGAGCCAACTCTTAGCAATGTGGCTAATCATGTGGAGGATGAGGGAAGAAACAGAATGGAGATGGAAGAGTGTGTGCAGGCTAAGAAGCTTATTATTGATGAAGCAGTGGGTGAACTTTGTAAAGCCGATTTGAGAAAGAGATCTGGGGCTGGGTGGAAGAGGCAAATCACATCTAAAAGTAGACTGCAGAGAGTCCCTGTGAAATCCAGTGGGTTAGAGTTTTCTGAAAGTCTCAAAAGAAATAGAGCTCTGGTTATCTATGATGGGGTGGACAATGATGTAGAGGCAGATAATGGCAAAAGGAAGAAGAGTAAAGGTGAGCAATCTGTGGTGGAGAAGGCCAACCATAAATGGCCCCAATGTGATCAATGAAAGCTATGGTGTGGAACTGTAGAGGGCTGGGTGGGCCCTTTACATTTTCCCAGATCAAGGATTCTAGAAGAATCCACCACCCAAATATAATATTTTTATCTGAGACCAAGAAATCTGTGCAGTTTACTAAATCAGTGTGTAGGAAGCTGGGCTACCAAGATAGGTGGCATTTGGTGAATCCTCAGGGAACTAGAGGTGGCTTGCTGTTAATGTGGGACAGCTGTGTGGAGATTAAACAAATTGTAGGGAATGACTTCTGTTGCCAAGTTGAGCTGAAAGGGGCAGGGATGTCTGATTGGGGTTGGTTTATCTTTGTGTACATGAGTACTGACAGAAGAGAGAGGGAGGAGCAGTGGGAATTTCTTGAAAGTAGCAGAAGGAGGTGGGGCAATAGCTGGCTGATGGCAGGGGACTGGAATGATCTAGTTTTAAATGAAGAGAAAAGAGGTGGTGTGAGGAGGTCTCCTAATAGCTTTGTAGGATTCCAGGAGTTTATCATGAATATGGAGATGCAGGAGGTGAATCAATTGGGATCATTTTTCACTTAGGGGAACAATAGAGCAGGGGATGGTTATGTGGAAGAGAGGTTGGATAAAAATTTTGTATCTCTTGAATGGCTGGCCAAATTCCCAAACATGGAGGCTTCTAACTTTTTTAGATCAGCCTCTGATCATAATGTCCTCCTCTTAAATACTGATAAGAAGATGGGAAAAAGACATAAGAGATTTCAATTTAGCAAAGAGTGGGCTGAGTTGGAGGGAGTTCA